CAACAGAACAGGGCTTAGCACACACTGCTCCAACTAGTTTTCCCTCTGGCATTGCAAGAGCTCACTGTTTCTTCAGTTCAGTCTGATGAAATAGTTGGCTTGCATTTGGGGGCCATGTTTTAGAAAAATAAGCCTGCATATGACCAGAATCTTTCTGGGATCACATTCGAGAATCACACAGACTTAGTGAAGAAGGGATTCGTATTTCCCATCTCATGCTTACTGCAAGGCCTAAGCTCACTGAGGGGAACGGTAGGGGTCTCTGGCATTATTTAGTTTTCTCTTTTTACTTTTTGTCAAATATAGTTGAATTCAAGCAATTTAAATAAACATATGATAAAATTCCACCGTTATCTATATTGATGTCACATCTATAGTTTTTTTTTCCTTTAGTATGCAGATTTATTTTAGGAGTTCTTTTAAGAAATGTAATAACTCTAAAAGTATAGGAATATTCAAAGTTATTTACTGAGTATTACTAGACGCTAGACACATACCTTATTCTTATATTTTAAGCATATAGTTCTTAATCAGCATTATTTAAGATTCACCTGAACAGCTTTTTAAAAAATGAGATGTTGAGGGCCCATCTCAATTCTACAGTATCATTTTCCTCTGGGTATGGGGATTTGGTACATTAATTATTATTTTTAAGCTCTATTGGTAATGTTAATGTGTGTCTCCTGGTCCAGAACCACTGCTTTAATTACATCATCAACTAATAGTTTAATTGTCAACCAGAGTCACTAAGAATAAACTTGGCCTATTTCACAATTTTGTTTAGGACCACTCATCAATGCTTCCTGGTTTCTGATTGCCTCCTGATTTGCTGTCTATGTATGTCCTGATTTCCTTCCTGTCTGTGTTGGGGCCTTCCAGCACTTCTGCGCTTCTGAACTGGAAACATGCCCTTTGATCTCAGGTGCTACCACAAGCAAAGATTCCGGTTATATGCTCCAGGTTAGCTCCTTGGACTTGGCTCTCCTGATCTCTGCATCTAATCCTGGCTCTAACACATGCCTCCACTTATGACCCAAGTGCAACAATCTGCCAACTCCATGAAGTCAGGGAAGAAAGAGCATGATGGCTCAACTGGAAATGATTTCAAGTGACTGCAATAGGTAAGGTCATTATGAATGCATGCCCATCTGCTTTACTTGCCTAGTTTGAGTCCCTTCAAATACTGCTTTGTACCCACCGTCCCAACTAAAAGCTCTAATTTATACAGAAAACAATTCTTAGCCTGGAATAAAGGCCCTCTACCATCCAGGAATGAACTACCTTTCCAGATCTTACACTATTCTTCGAATACCTGGTGCTCCAGCCTAGCTGAACTTGATTGTTCCCCAGGAAGCCGTTGGCAATGCTGTGCTAACTTCCTTTCTTCACTACATTTTCAGTGTCTAGAAGGATTTTTCACCAGTGGCTTCCTTTCCTTTATTCATATATTCAAATCCTACCAATCTTTAAAAGCAGTGTTTCTCAAACCTGAGCAATGTAAAAGAGAATCTTTTGACTCAAGCGAATACATTTTTTTTAACATTTTTTATTGATTTATAATCATTTTACAATGTTGGCGAATACATTTTTTGACAGGCAGGGGTCCACAGACCACAGTTTGAAAAGCACTGATAGAGAAAACTGAAGACCAATTCTATGAAAATCTCTTTCAGTTGCAAATTGTCACTTTGAAAGAAAATTTGTCTTTATAATAAAAGAATGTGTATATTGTTATTAAAATGAAAACAAAAATTTTAAGGTATCAAATAATTCTAATTCTTATCTCCAGGTTTAAGATCCCAGTTTGAAAAACACTGCTTTAAGGCACCGCTTAAACATACTGACCCTGGAAAATGTTCTTTCATTATCCCAGGGAAATAAAATTTTCTCTTTTCTGAATTATTTAGTATCTAATCACTTTCTGCCCTGAAGTAGCTAATAATATGCAGGCAATATTCTTCTAGAAAAACCATAAGCTCTTTGAAGGCAGGGACAATATTTCAGTCATTTTTAAGCCACTGGTCCTCAGCAAGTATTGAATATAAGATCTCTAGTCCATCTTATTTTGTAGTTCAAAGCCCTTAAAAATATTTCACTCTTCTATGATACATACTCACAGAATAGCATATTACTGAGATAGCTCCTCTACAAATTACAAAAACTCAGAGATTCTATTAAATATTAGGAAAAGTCCAAGATATAAAAATTAAAATTTTCAAAAGTGCCACAAAATATATCTGTTCTATGTCAATGGTAACAGGAACAATTTGAGTGATCAGCAGGCAAATAATTAAGAATTGCAGCATTAAGCAATAAAAAAAATCGAAATGCAAGGCTCGTAGGAAAGGCCCTATGAATGTCTACATAAGAGTTGTATGTTCCTAATTCAGTTTGTATTTTGGCCAATGTCAGGTTTTCAACTAGTGTATCTGAGGAAACTATTTTCCTCGGACATTTCAGAGAGGATTCATTATGTCATCAGGCACGAAGGCGGGCTGGTTGCCGAGAACGTCTTCCCTCATGCAGTATTTGGATAGAGCCTGAGACTGCATACATCGTGAAAGGAAGGAGCACTGGCAGGGTTATGGGGAACCCATTCTATGTGTCACCTGGGCAAGCTGAAGTCAGTTTGTTCATTTGAACATAAAAGTAATGGATAATGGTTTACCAAGGTCTCTTTTAGCTCTGAAATGGATATTCAGTGGCCCTAAGTAAACATGGCTTGAGAGAGGTTATTTCTTTGAGCAGGACGGGTTATTTTCCCCCGAGTATAAAAAGGGCAACAAACTGTTTATCGATACTTGAGTCTTCCCCACTGCCTTTTGGGGACTGAATTAGGGAAAAAAGGGCTTGTTCCCTTTTTGGTGAGTCCTCTAACGAGAGGGCTCCTGGCCAGGTCCAGCCCTCACCCTCGGTCGCTGCCCAAGGCCCAGCGGGAGCGGTGTGACTCGCGGGGGAGATTAGTCCCTGGTCATAAACAACCTCTCACTTCCCCTCCCCCGCCCCGGGCCCGCCCGCGCTGGGGCCGGCCCTCCGAGGGCCAAGGAACCTCCTCCGACGACCGCGGGCCCCGAGCTCTCCTCCGGAGGGCGACCGTGGGCCTGCCACCGTCTCCTAACCCGGCGTTTGATCATTTTACTCATGCCTTTCTCACTCGCCCACCGGGGAAGCGGTTCGCTACAGCGACCTCGGAAAGGGAGATGAGG